TATGTACAATTGGAGACGTGAACATCATCGAAGGACCAAATAAGTTATACTTTGAGGATACTATACTACAGCTTGTTGTCTATGGGCAAAAGTTAAAGGTAATCTAAGTTATCTTCTGGACAAATGTTTATAGACTACTATAACCAAGGTGCAATAATTTTTATATTTTAGTATAGAATAGTAATCGTCAAAAAAATCTAAAATGAGAATTTTTGCGTATCTTTACGTTTCAGGGGTTTCTGAACATTTTGGCATACCTTAAAAAACTAAATGTGTGTGTGGATACAATTTTTCGTCGACGGTTTCAGGCATACAGATCAACCGATTTGAATAATTGAAAAGTCAATCAATTCCTATTCATAAAGCCAAGTTTTGGTTAACATATGCATACATGATACACATTTATTCCAATGTCAGTGTCAAACTATTCAGAACGACTTGAAACTATCGGGAAATTAATTATGAAATCAAAAATATTTTTATATCAACCTAAAATAATACTTGAACAGTTAACAAGATTTTCAACTATTATGCATATATTTCACCGCTACAAAATAATTTATTAAATTTATTAATAATTCAACATTAATAAAAATATTAATAATTCAACATTAATAAAAATATTGTTTTCGGTAGGTTTATTTTTGAAAAATTACATTTAAATCGCCAAAGTAATAACATTCAAAATTAAATCAATTATATTAGAAATTTTATATGAGTGCTAAATAATATATAAAATAGTATAATATATAAAACATTTACACAGATAAAGTTTTAATTAATATTTAACCAGTTAACAAACCAATCTGCATAAAATTCTTATCTACAAGATTTTCGCTAATTTATTCTTAATTCGAACAAACAATAAAATCACAAACTCTACAATCGGTCATAAAGTATTCTATAAACGGCAATTAAAGCCCGAAATATGATTTTAGAAGCCATAATAATAATAATAATAATATTTTATTTATAATATATTCTGAATTATCTTAAATTCCTCATAAACCAACATAACTGAATATCTTGTTCACACGCTTTTTTTGTTAACAAGAAAAAATTTGTATAATTTACGCTTGATAATCTCTTGTAAGATTATTAATAATACATAATATATATATATATATACATACATACATACATATATATACATATTTATTTATTTCTATATGTGTATAAATATGTATATATTTATAAATGACGTGATATTCCCTGATTAACGATTCCAAGGTTTTTCCGATGCGTGTCTTATTGGATTCGTAATCAAAACATTTATATAATTAATTAACGCGCTTTTTAATGAAATTAAAATTATAAGGTGATGGGCATTGCTGAAACCTTGCCCTTTTAGGCATTTATATATCGAACACAAATTCTATAAATGGATTTTGGTCATAATTTATACTTAACACACATTTTTGTAATAAAATTAATTGGCTTCTGACAGCTTAACGATCAAAATCGGTAAATTATTTAGTATAAAACTAGGTGCAAGTGGCGTGTAATAATCGACTCAATCTATAAGAAGTCAATCATTTATCACTTCGTTCCTTTTCTATACAGTGTTGCTCCACAATGTGTCAATAAACGTTAGGCTATTACATTAAATTACATTATATATTATACATAATACGCTATTAAATAGTAATCGATTCGGACAGTTGGAAATGCATTCGCATTTGCATAAGCCCACTACGCAAATGGGGGCCCCCAAGTGGCGCTAGGCAATATCGATGGAGTCACTCCAGAGACTAGACTAGACTAGATTGTGACTAGACTGGACACATATTATGGACAGTCGATTTAACCGATAAGGAGATATGTAGATAGATTGATACAGGGGTGCATTAGGTATTTTGGAGTAAGTCGTTACCGGACCGGAGGTATAAATTATTCATGTTTGTTTTGTATTATTAATGTCTTGTTTTAAAATTAAGTCGTAGGCGTAGGTGTCATTGTTTAACTTTCATCAACAATATATTATGTACGTCAACACATTTATTTTAATTTACAAGATAATAATATGATAATCTCTGGTGTATCCAAAATGTAGAACTCCTTTGTTAACTTCTCTTAGGGTGAGTTATAGCAATCGTCCAAAAATCTGAAATGAAATTTATTACATATCTTTACGATTCAAAGGTTTCGGAACATTTTAGAACACTGCACTTATGCTACGTAGTTATAACATGTATTAAAAACTCTCCTTCGATTCTCAGGTTGTTGGGTTATAATTTAACCCTTGTTCTAATTACAATCACTGATTTATTACTAAGTTATAAATGAAGAAAGATATATTTACATTTATTTGTTATTTACATGTTGTTAAGCAGACTTTACTTTTAGAAGTGAACAACTAGTTCCATTAAAACACTCCGCTACCCCCTCTTCCAGGGGAGCAACCATTCCGTGTCAAGTTTAATGCCCTGAAGTTTTTGTCACTTTCATGGCCAATATAATAAAACGAAAAGACTTCCAAACAGACACCTCAGACAAAATAAATGTGTGTGTGTGAGTGTGTATTTATAAGTGAAAATGCATTCAATTTCTATTAATAAGGAGCTTTGCTGATTATTTGAGCAAAAGTTGGTACAGGCGTTTCGGATACGGTGCAAAAAGTGCAGTAAATGGAAATTCGGTTTTTAAGAGAACGGATCAACCGATTTGAATGATTCAAAATGATTCCTATTGATGGAAACTTGCTGATTAGTGTTTTGACAAAGGTAGTTCCAGCCGTTTTGAAGATGCGAGGCAGAAGTGCAAAAAATAGCAGTAATTAAGAGGATGGCTCATCTGATAAAAATATTTCAAAAAAACATTTTGCGTGTGTTGAAAATATGAAGAAATTATTAATTATTAAAATATTTTAATTTTCAAAAAAACATTTTTTTAAATATCTAAAATGATTCGGATTTAAACTTTAATTAAGACTCTAAAAATTCAAAATCCTTCAAATATTCCATTACGTTCCAGCAATTTGCCTTAAGGCGCGATGCCATGCACCACTAATTAACATTATTTGTGAACGCATATTTTTTCATTGATATAAGAAAATAATTATAACTTATGATTTTGCAAGAACATATTTGTGATTTAGTTAAAAGTTTGTAGTGTTATATGTTTTATTTATATACATCTTATCTTGAATCAAACCCAGAGGTAAATTTACGTGCTACTGCTGATGGCGCCCTTACGGAGTGCGGAAACAATTAAAATTCAAGTAAATGGCAAAGCAACTATGTTTGCGACTATTTATACTCCTTAATTATGATAATAAGTATAGTTGACATTATCAATATTAATATTTTCTCCGTTACGATTTAAAATGATTTCCGTAGAGATTTGAGTTGGTATTTTGGTTTGGAGGTATGCGCAAATGTGGGTGTGTGAAAAGTGCTTTCGTCCAGACTTAACTGACAGACCTAGCGGTTATTGGTGTTTTAGTAGCGCTCCGAGTCTCCGACCCGAACCGACCATCGAGGGCCCCCACAGCCACAGCCATAGGAAAGTTAACTTTGAGGCTGAAACGGTGACCGACCATATGGTCGGTCGCTCGATCGTTATAATATCGCCTTAGATCTCGTACACATAATAATAGATATTTTGTGAACTAACAAGATGAAATGAAGAAAAAATTCTCGAAAAGAATTCATTTCATCTTCTTTTTGCATATTTAAAATTTCGCGATTAAAGTATTAATGACTATTATATATTTTAGTGAAAAGAATTGCGCAATTTGTGTTGGCTAAACGTATTACCATAGAATGAATTAAGTTATTGATAGTGATAAAAATATTAATGCTTCCTTCAAATATACTAAATTTATTTTAAATGTTGCTTGTTTCGCGATCTTCATGGCAAGAGAGTTTATTTTACATATTTTTACATTAACAAGAATTCAAAATGGCGGATACAAATTCATGGTAGAAGAAAACACCATTACCAACATCACTAATAATTATGGCGGGGCATTTGAATTACAAACGTATATATAACATGTCATTATATAAAAAATGTGACAAATAATTTTGTCCAAATGAAGTCATTTAAACTAAAATCGTTAGCCTAAACTTCAAATCAAATCGACTGTAAAAATTGTAATATTGAAACAGTAAAATTACCAAAAATAAATTATACATAATATTAATTTCTGCAATTTCTATTACTAATTTGGGCATTTTTTTGAGCTTTGAGTTCTCAATTAACTAGTTGGTATTGGTATTTTGCCTTGATGCAAGTTACCTGAACTTCCCAATCTGGGTAAATAATTGACTCAATCAATAAAAAATAAATTAATTTATGAGTTATTAAAAGTATTCCGGGTGGATTTATAACACATAAGAGTACATTTTCAAAAATCGACAATTTTTATAATTGAACCGGTTTCGCACAGAATTATTTGCAAATGCGTTTAGACTGTGACTATACGGGGGCACTTTTTCTATTTCGTGTAAATTAATTAAACAACTATTTTTTTGGAATTGAATTCGAAATGAAATGACGATTGTTAATGTTCTGGAGATAAATTGATTTATGATTTACATTTGATTTGCTCAGATATAAAGAAGGCAAAAATAATGAAACAATTACAGTATTTGTAATAATATATTTGAAAACGTTTAAAATTTCTCGTATATTTCATTATGGTACGGGAAGTTCCAGCAATTTGCCTTCACGATGCCATACACCACTAGTTTATTTCTTCGACTGAACATGTGGTCGTAGCCTTAGATTTCCGTATTCCCGCCACACACGTCAACCATCAGAGAACCAGAATTAACAGAGTGCATTATTATTATTATATTTGAGATATATAAATTCCTTTAGCGACGACTTTACAATTTAACAATTTTACAATTTCACATTTCATTATTATATGTCTTATTACATTTCAAAGCCCAGGTATGTGTACATTTATATATATAAATATAAAGTGTACAGTTTATGCTCCTTTGCAATTCTGCACGAGCCAGCTATTTATGAGCAATGGGTGTGATCAAATGGACCCATATACGACCACCTGGGGGGCACTGGGGAATTTTACCATTGAGCCCCACGTATCTGCTCCAGTCATGATAATGGACAGAAGTAAGAAATTACATCAATATAAACTACACATTTTAACCACTGATTGGTTTAACCAAGTAAAGATAAATGAGTTTTAGCAAATTTTTGGAGAATGTTTTTTATCAATCCCTACTGCTTGATATCAAGCTGTCCGAGAAGTGAAGTTGCACAGTTACAGCAAGTTCATATTAATAAATACATAAATATTTACAACTTTTACCATGACTCAATTCCTCTCTTTCATCTTATCTTTGTCATTATGTAATATAGTTTTAAAAAAAAACTCATCCTACGCAATGCCATCCATTTCAAATTACATTTAAAAAGCACTCCAAGTGTCACATTATATTTTTTTATAATGTCGATTAATTAATTCGATATTGAAGTGTTTATGCTCTTAAAATCTTATGGGAACAGAATATAAACTCTTCAGAGAGTAATTACAACACTTGAATTAAATATGTCGATGGGGACATGGGGACAGATTTGGCAATCGGAAGAATTATTTATTATGTCATCTGGGTAATAGTTTTTAACTTACAATTCAATACACTAATTTCAAAGACAAGTTATTTTTTCTAACAATTATCATTGACATATATGACTGAGGCAATATTTTTGGCTCCAAGCCATCCACGTACTGATTGTATGCAAATTTCAAGATTCTATCACAAATCTCTTTACAACTCTCTGGCAAAAATTTAAAGACTTAACCAAGAAATTTGTTATTTCCAAAAGTCGAAATTTACTTAATTTTTTAATTTAAACTGTATAAATTGCTAGTAATTTAGACCATCTGGATAAGATTTGCAGTGTTCTAATTACTAATTATGTAATTGTGGAATTCGTTTCTGATTTCACAAAGACTTCTTTATGGGATTGAAATGTAAAATGATACTTATAAAGTGTTTATTGAACTCATTTATCAAGTGCTTGATATAATTAATAACATGTTTAATTAAATTGATCATTCTTATTAAAATATATGGAAAACTTCGGGTTTGTTTGAAATTAACACATTTTAAAAATAAATTTGCAAGAGTGCTTAATTTTATACAATAAAGGCGCAACCATGATAAAATAAAAACTGGAGTATAAAAAATATCTTAACAATTCTGATTTGTTATATATTATCAATATTGGGACGACAAGTGAGTGGGTCTTTCAGCCCTCTTGGGACAAATTAAATATTACTAATCATACCCCATGTACTCTCATATTAATGATTAAAAAATTTGGCAAGTACAATCATGGTCCTGAGACACGGAATAAATAATTCATTCAATAGGTTTAGTTAAAATATATCCTGGTATCATTCTTATTGCTACTCACCCCCTCAGGTAATTATAGGTAGTAAAAGAATAGGTTCTCTGATTTGGTGATAGTTATCACCCCGACAGTAGCTTGAAGCCCTTTTTCTTCACAATATAAATTTGAAAGTAACGGACATCAGTGCGAGTCAATTGAATAGATGGCTCTGTGAGAGCACAGAATGTATATGAAGTTGGCTATGAGATATAAAAAATATGTGATATTCATTAAAGTATATTGTGTTTTAGTACAATGAAAGATAAATATAAAATCACATAATCCAACAGGATTACAGTAGTGATTAGAATATCTTACCCAATTGGGTAAAAAAATCGCTTTCCACTTGTTCAACACACTCGCCATATTGTTAACGAAAACCGTCAACCATAGACAGGTACCTTTTATAATATAATATTATCTAGTACATTTTTGTTATTATTGTATTATTAAAAACATAATACGATTGTAATACCAGATTTAGTTTCAAATACCCGTGCACTAAAATTCATTAATTTTCATTTCAAATTTGGCGCCATTAATTTGAATGCCAAAAGCAGCGCTATCACGTCGAGCGGAGGACCCTTTAAGTATTCCTTCTGAACGTAAAAATCGGGAGAGAGAAACGTCTAATATATGAACACATGGTATCCTAATATTGTCTAGAGGTACCTATATCTACTTTATTAACCATTTTATTTATATAAATATCAAACAATTTAGATAGAGACTCTTTAATTTGATTATTTTCCCGGAGACCACCCGGTGTGGTCAAAGTGTGGCGACGATGGCGACACATTAACCTTATCACAGAACAATTATTTATTCTCCTTTTATTTCCTACGAATAAATTTTGTTTTGTGTCCATTCCGAACGACAAATACTACATTATTATTCAGACATTTTCTAAACGCTCTCTACTGAAGAAAATTAATGGCTAAGGCTTAAAGAGCGAACGATCTTTAAAATTATATATATATATAAATATATATATATATATATATATATATATATATATATAATTAAAGTACCTAATTAATATGTGCCATATTCTGCTACTATATTATGTCAGCTTCAGTAATAAAATTCCCAAACTGATCATTTTCTTTCCAAGTAATTTAATATCTGAGTAAGTACCAGAAGGATTTTTCTCTCAATTATCATAAATCGAGTTCGAAAATCGTCTTTTCAGCATTTGCGATTTAATAACCGAAAATGGCTTTGGAAGCATTTCTTAAAAGCAATTTACTTATATGAAAGATTCCAGATATCGAAGTTAATGAGCCAAAGTATCGGATTTCAAAATTTAAATGTCACCCGAAATCGTATTTATATAAATACAAACACAAATAATAATATATATACATATATATTTATTTATACTCGTGTGTCTGTGTATTTAATGATTTGACAACATTTAATGGCCTAATAAATAATTATATGGACGATAAATTTAAGTTTCTCCCAAATCTCTTAATTAAAGACATCACAATATTACATTATAAATATTCGCATACACACATATAAATATTATATGTGTGTAAATAATATATAAATAATTCTTGAATAATATTTATTATGTACGTTTCGACACTGTATGTGTGTCATCATCACACACGTTAACAAATTCTAAAAAATATTTTACAAAAAATTACAATAATACAAGAAGATGTAACAAATAAAAATGAGAAAAACTCCTAAAGAGAGATTGATGTTGTTTACAAAACAAATTGTAACGATTGCGATTGATATATCGGCGAAAGTTCATAAAATATTTACAAATATTCATTATTCTATTTGATTGATTACAATGTCTTTAAATTTTAGGTAATTTGTTTTTTTCTGATTTGCTATATATTAATATTTTGATTTTTTATATCTTCTAGCAATCTTGTAATTTATTTTAATCTTTGTAAAAAAGTTTTTAAATTTGTTAAACATGCTGAATGATAATACACTACACATACAGTGCCGAGACGTACATAAAAAATTGTTTATTATTTGTTGCTTTTTATTTCGACTATAACTTCGATATCAAAAAATTATTTATTTATTTTTTCAATTATTTTATTCAACGATTCGGGAATAAGGAATGTTTATTTTGTGACTATTTTGATTATTTTTTAATTGATAGATATAGAGAATTGAATTTAAAAGTTAAATATAGAAAATATAGAGAATTTGAATTTTGTTAGCGTGTTGCCTGAATCAAATATTTAGTATCGCGCTCTCGCTCTAACATACAATGTTAAAAAGAGATAGAATATAAAAACGAAACAAACGAGTCAAAATTATAAAAAATCACTGTGAAGTACGCAACAATATTTCAAAATGGCGGTTTTTATTGATAACATTTATCATATTATTCGCCTTTTTATGTTTATCAGTTTACTTAAAAAATGTTTATTATTTTACTATCGATCAGAATGTACGTCTTTTATATATTAATTTTAAATATTATTTGAAATTAAATACTCTTCATCGTTTTTGTTTGTTATTCCAGCATATTCATTGAATACATTATTGTGCTTAATATTTTCAAAATAATTTGTGGAAAGAAGAGTCAAATTAGGACCCAAAACGTTTGAAAATTAATTAAAAATATTTTTTTGTGTTCTTTCTAAATCTATTATCAAATTCACTATTTCATCTTCTGAATTTATTACCATTTTCTTCTACCCACCATAAAATCTTCTCCATACATAAATAACAGCTACTAAATTCTCGAAATATTTCCTAACCTAAAAGCGATTGTGTAACCCGAATGTGTCTTTTTTTTCTAATCTTGACAAATTAATTGAGTATCAAATTACTGGCCACTAATTTCTCTAAAAATAAAGATATTTATGTAACTCAAAAATAGATTCATCGCCGCATTTGTAAACATCTATAAAGGCCATGATACCTTTCAACAGTAGCTGGAGAGGAGATTGATATATTAACTTTGCTACTTAACATATATTTTTACATATATACATAAATAAAAATGGAATTTAATTATAAATCATTATAATATAAATATTATATTTGGTAAATGATACATATGTCCATTATTCATCGCTATAAAATCAGTGCCTTCATTCATGTGGTGTGTGTTAAATCAAATCAAATCGAATCAAATCAAATTAAAACTAAAATTAATAATCACAGTGCTTTCTCAATTCAAGAATTCATTAATAAACAATAATCATCGAGCTTTTACTAATCGCATAATAAATAAAACTTTTTTGGAACTATTTTTTTGACAGTTTGTTGAAGTAATTGAATTTTTGCTGTGGCAACACTGGAAAATCAAATCAATCAACACAAATTTGATTTAAAACTAAAATTAATAATCATTGTGCTTTGGTAATTCAAAAAGTGCTTCAATAATTCATTAATACACAATAATCATCGCGCTTTTACTAATTAAATAATAAAAAACATATTCTGAGCTATTTTTTGACAGTTTGTTGAAGTATTAAATTTTTGTTGCGGCAACACTGATAATTGACAGTTAAAATGGCGGATCTCTATTTAATTTTAATTATTTATTTTTAACATAAAATATTATATTATACTTATGGTTGTTATTAAAAGTGTTTTTATCTAACTAATAATAAATATAATACTGGAGTATGTAGTCTTTGAAATGTTAACAGTAAATTTTATCACAAAATGCAGTTTTTTGTGTTGTTTTAAAAACAGGAACAAATTATCAAAATTTATTTACAATTGTGTCTAAAATATATGTTGCACAATAAAAATTCAATACATTTGCCAAATAGTCAACAAATTAGCTGAGAATATTCCCATTATTAAAATTTAAATCTAAAACTACATAAACAATTGTGACGGTGGCCTTAATAACCCTAACTGACAATTATAAAACCAAGTGACAATTACAATTCTCTTATTTCTGTATTACAGGTGAACCTTATATCCCTAGACCGCAAATTATAGAAAGTAAGTTGTGTGAAATAGACTCCAGAAATTTTCAACAAAAAATGCTAATCTAATTTAGAAAGTGTTACTAATAAAACATTAAATTATGAATAAATAATCATCTATTCGCTATAATTTATAGTCGTGTGACCGTGTGAGAAATACTATTAAATGCATTTATAATTATGTAGATTAATTTATGTGATTTTTTGTGCTTGTTCGTAGCGCCATGTGAAAGGAAACATTGTGCGCACAATGCAGACTGCATAGAAGTTCCTACGGAGGTGGATCCGAGTGGGGCTATATGCGAATGCGTTACTAATTGTCCGGATTATGATAATAAACAGGTAAAAACTAATCAAAAGTAGAAAATTATTCAATAACAATAGTAATCAGATAAATCCTTACATTCAAATTCAAATAATTGCTTAGCGAGTTACCTGATTCAAATATTTAGTATCGCGCACTCGCTCTAACGCACGTTGTTAAAAAGAGATAGATGATAAAACTGAAGCAAAATGGCCAAGTTTATTAATGGCGTCATTTACGCCAAAACCTAGAATTTTCTTAGCGTATTGCCTGGCTCAAATATTTAATATCGCGCTCTCGCTCTAACACATATTGCCAAAAAGAGATAGAAGATAAAACCGAAACAAACGGGTTGAAATTATAAAAAATAACTGTGAAGTATGCAACAATATTTAAAAATGGCGGTTTTTAATAAAAACATTTATGTTTATTCAAATATTTGTTAATGTCTATGTACATAAATATCAATTACAATTATTATTCAAATATTTAATATCAAGCAAGTTTCAATTATAAAAATCACTGTGAAGTATGCAACAATATTTCAAAATGGCGGTTGTTAATAAAAACATTTATGTTTATTCAAATATTTTTTAATGTCTGTGTACATAAATATCAATTACAATTATTATTTCCTCTAGCACAATGACGAACGCGTTTGCGGTTCCGATAACCGCGTTTATCCATCAAGATGTCATTTGCGTATGGCCAGTTGCAAAAACAGACTGGAATTGTATGTCAAACATGAAGGAGAATGCGGTAATTATATAATGCATAGAGATAATTATGTAATAATAATAATAACATTGAAATTAAACCTTGCAGATTCCCATAGTCCTTGCGTGGATCATCATTGTTCCCAAATTGGTTCCCATTGTATTTTGGACGCTAATAATCGCCCAAAATGCGAATGTGTACAATATTGTTCTCCAAAGGTTTTTAAAGGTTCGATATCAAAAGTTTGGCATTAATTTTATTTAATAGTGTGTGATTAAAATCGTTATTTTTAGATGACTGGATCTGTGGAGATGATGGTGTGGACTACCGAAATATTTGTGAATTGCAAAAGGCGTCATGTTTAGCTAAAACTACCATCACGGCTTTGTACAATGGAACTTGCGGTAAAAGATGCAATCATATACTAATTTCCCGACATATTATTTAATACTACAATGTAATTACTCTCAGATCCTTGTGCCCATATGACGTGCCCCCATGGAACAATTTGTGTCTTGGACCAACAAACACGCCAAGCAAAATGCGATTGCGGTCCCGAAATATGTTACAAAAGGTTTGCAAGGTCTCCATTGGGCGATAAAAGAAATTACTACCAGGAGTCTTCAGAAGTTTGCGCCAGCGACCACAAAACTTATGCCAATGAATGCGAAATGAAGCGCCAAAGTTGTCGCGAACAAAGACAGAATAACACTCTAAAAGTCGTCTACAAAGGCCACTGCGAAACAGGTAAATAGTAACAGACTAGTTTGTTAAAAAAAATGTCTTTTACTAGTACTAATACCCATTATTTTTTTATAATTATCTTCTATCTCCAGGTGTTCATCCCTGTTCAATCCACACATGTGCCTCCTCCCAACATCGTTGCGAGTTGGAGCCCCAAACCGGGACTCCCCAATGTGTATGTGGCCCCTCGCATTGTCCAAAAGTCTACACGCCCCTTTGCGTAAAATCGGAGCACACAATCGATAAAAGCCTTATGAAAAATATTAATGGAAACGATAGAGTCTTCACCATGGATTCTTATTGCAATTTGGCCAAATTGGAATGCAAACATGGACGACGGTTGGAGGTTTTGCATGAAGGAAAATGCGGTAAATAGATAATAGAAAATGGATTATTTGAATTTGTATGTACCATAAAAGATGAATCAAGTTGTGCTTATTTTGGCATAAGAGTTATCTTTATTGTTGAGATCTGTTCAAGTGTTTAAAAGCATCAGTTTATGTTTTTGCTAAATCTTTAACGAGGGAGATATTTATTTAGAGATGCAGATGGTAACAAAATGTTTTATATAAATTTATAAATAGATATCATGAAAATATCAATATTTATCTTTTCAATTATTTCTAACAATATTGAAATTGGAAAATGTTATAAACAATTTATATACTAAAGGGGGGCATGGCATCGTGCCTTAAGGCAAATTGCTAGAAATTCTGAACTTTTTTCAAAGCAATCGTACTGCTTTAACTGCATATAGACGAAATATCGAAGCGCGTAGGCGCCGTGTCGCCGTCTAACGGATGAATATTGGTACGGAACCCATAAAAATGTAAACAAAATTTATACTTATTGTTAAAATCCCCATAAAATATCTGATAATTTGATGTGCATATGTCTAATGATTCATTTTTGACCGCCAGATGGCATTTTTTTTTACTTTTTTACTAGATTTCCATAACCGCTAGACCTGCCTTCATGAAAATTTGATCAGTTCATCTTGTTAATACAAGTAAAATGTTTTTGAATTATTCAAATCGGAGGCTCCGTTCTCTTAAAAACCGAGTTACCGTTTTTGGCACTTTTTGCCCCGTATCTTCGAAACTGCTGGACCTGCCTTCGCCAAAAACTAATCAGCACGTCTCCTTATCAATGCGAATCGAATGATTTTTGAATGATTCAAATCGTTTCATCCGTGTTCCCGAAATCGTCGACGAAAATTTGTATCCGCACACACACACACATACATCAATGTTCAGGAGGTTTTGAAAATTAAAGATATATAAAAATTTTCATTTTCGATTTTTTAACTTGCCCTACAGAAAGTTAAAGAATATTAATAAACTTAATAATAAACTTGAAATTTAAATTAGGAAAATAAATATGTTAAAATTTATAAAATTATAAATTTTTTCAAAGTTATTTCAATATTTAATTTATATTTCACAACATATTATTTATTAATTTTTATTGAATCAAAATCTATAAACATTTTTTTTATTTAATTTCAATTTTTAATTTATTTTCATTATAATATTCAATTTTAATTTTAATTTTTTATTTTCAGATTTCAGAACAAAATATATAAATACCTAATAACAATTTTGAATTTTAAATATTTTTTTTAATTTTAAGAAGTATTTAAATTTTTATTAGACAAGAATATATTTATGTATACAAAGAATATTGATATTTTTAAGCATTTTGAGAATAATTGCCAATTTGAAATTCAAAAACAGATATGAATATGTAAATTTTATATATTTTTTCAAAGTTATTTCAATATTTAATTTATATTTCATTCAATTAATATAGGATTATTTATGAATTTTCATTGAAGTAAAATCTATAAACATTTTTTTATTTCATTTCCACTTTTAATTTATTTTTATTATAATATTTAATTCATTTTTTTATTTCCAGATTCATGTGAAATACTTGACTGTTCTTATTATTCAACGTGCCTTAAAGATGGTGAGTATTTTTAAAACACTATTATTAAAAAACAAGTCATAAAAAGTGCCAAATGATTATTAATTTTATTCAAATTTAATTTCTACAACAATTTAAATTTACTTAATTTTACCGAATATTTCATTGATAATTCCATTGATAATCTATGTCATTGCCAAGAATCGATCCGAGGATCGCTGGCATGTGAGTAGGGCACCATACTGACTTAGCTATTAGCGCCATAAAATATTTATTAAAAATAATAATAGAGGTCCAGAATTAATTATTTATCGATTTCTCTTTTTTAAGATGTGGGAAGAGTTTCCTGCGTATGTCCAAAACTAGAGGACTGCCTCTTCGACAACAGTACGACCAAGGAACAATACACGGTTTGTGGAACAAATGGAGAAACCTACTTTTCGGAATGCCATTTGCACGCAGAGTCTTGCAAGAAAAACCAGCACATAGCCGTCGCCCATAGCGGAGAATGCGGTAAAAAATACACCACAACCCCAAACTAACCCCAAACTTAAACCTTTAATCTATTACCATTTCAGATCTCTGCGCCGGTGTCATATGTTCCTCGGGGGCACGCTGTTCCCGAGGCTCCTGTCTCCGTTCTGGGGGCAACGAGTTGTCCGCCGAAGTGGTAGTAGGGGGCCCCACCCGTATCACGGACTTAACCCCAAGAACGGAATGTCAATGCCATTTATTGGGGACGGCTGTGAGAAGAATGACATCTCTTGTCGGGAATCAGGACGACAGGAATAGATACGGAAGCGTCTCGTGCGCCTGCGAGTGCATGAGGGGGGGTCACTGGGGCTAATTGCGACAGGTAAGATAATTGACACATAAGGATAAAGAATTTATGATTACTGTTTTGCAATTTTTTTAGGTGTATGGAAGGTTATTGGGGTCTCCATCTAACTGAATTTGACGGTTGCAAACGTAAGTAACATATAAAAAACTGTCTTATACAAATTTAAATTTCCGTCTACCATCAATCTACTAAATCAATCTCTAATCCAGGTTGCGAATGCGATATCTACGGTTCTTTAAGATCAGATTGTGACCAGAACTCCGGAAAATGCGTTTGCAAACCAGGAGTCATCGGTGCCAAATGCGATTTGTGCAAGTTGTCTAGAAATGCACCAGGACCTGATCTATGTGAAGGTATAGGTAAAATATTGCAAAAACAATTAAGATGGTCGTGTACATAGATAAAAGAAGACTATATAGATCGCTCTCTCAAGCCACATTTCGTTGTCACGTTTTTCCGATCAAATCTGTCAATTTTCTGGGTTAGTTTACGTCTCCCACTATATAGATGGCGCTAGCGTCGACCGTGGGTGCGAATATAAAATGCTGTAGAAATGCACCAATATTATATAGAGCGTTTGAATTCGAAATTAAAACTAGTGGGGTGGGTGGCATCGTGCCTTAAGGCAAATTGCTGGAACTTCCCGTACCGTAACGAAACGTTCGAGGAATATTGAATGTTTTCAAATAGATTATTATAAATATTGTATTATTGTCTAATATTTATAAGAATTATATAAACTGAATTGCAGAGTTGAAATTATTTGTTTAAAGTATATTAGAACTATAGTCAGAATTAAAAATAAAATCTGAATTATTTTCGATATACAAAAAATTAAAAAAAAAAAAAAAAAAAAATGGTACAAAATTTTTTTTTCCAAAATCAATTATTTTGTTAAGACAAGCAGAAAGTTCTTTGAATCAATTGAATCGGACGCTTAGTTCTCTCAAAAACTGCCATTTTTTGTACATTTAGCTCTGTATCTCCGAAATGGCTGGGCCTGCCTTTGCGAAAAACTAATAACCCTTTCTCCCAATCATTACTAATGGAATGTTTTTTAGATAATTCAAATCGGATGCTCCGTTCTCTCAAAAACTCGATTTCTATTTTCTGCACTCTTTGCTCCTTATCTCCGTAACTGCTGGACCTGTCTTTGCTAAAAACTAATCAGCTCTTCTCCTTATTAATAGGAATCGAATGTTTTTTAAACCATTCAAATCGGTTGATCCGTACGCCCGAAAACGTGGACGAAAATTTGTATCCATACATACATACACACACACACACACACACACACACACACACACACACATCCATTTTTTCTGAGGTATGCCAAAACGTTCAGAAACCTTCAAAACGTCGAGAAATGTAAAAATTTTCAATTCCGATTTTCGGCCCATTACAATAACTTACCCTACGGGAAGTTAAAAAAAGAATTTTAAAAAGCATTTATTTTTATATATTACATACATGATTACAGAAGATGGTATTCAGCTTCATATATTCAGCGACATATTTTTTTATGAAACATCAAAAGGCAATTCTTGCTATTCACAATTTTCGCTATTTTGTTGTGGCATAGTCGATCCCAAACTAACATTAGCAGTGATAAAAGAAAAGTGGAATTTTAAAGGCCATATTAGATTCTCGAATATTTTCTTTAGCCCGTTTTGTAGCGCTACCAGCGCTCCAATCGAGGGAGACGGAACTAAAAACAAGATTACAGATGTTTGTTCGGAGATTACCGAAGGAGATGGTTATGTATAAATATTAATTTGTTGTTTAGATAATGCAAGTTATGGAAATGGTGGACAATTGCCAAGGGATGAACCCCAACAGACGAAATCTGTGAGGCATCTTATGAAGGTTCCTGGCACGCATTCTGGAAGGCCGATATATAACTCAGGTAGATATCAATTTACCATCAAATGAGCTGATTGAATGAAATCATATTAGACTTAAAATACTGCTTCAAAACTGTAATTAGTAAATTAGTAAAAAAAAATCGAGTATAAACCAACTTTTATTTAGTTTTATACACCTTAATTAGAATATAAATGTTCCTGTATCAATAATTATTCTTCGTTAAACATAAATATTTTACAGATCAATCCTACACCCATGTTCTGAACCACCAACCCAAAACAGTACACATGATACCAGCGCCTCTACTGGGTGATCTTTGCGAAATGGACAGTCATTGTGGAGCCCCGGGCTCTGTTTGTCGTGGAGGCGCCTGTATATGTGAACCATCTGAATCAGAAAACGATAGCACATCTTCCAAAGAGGAAAATTCATCAAAAGGTGTTAAAGAAAGATTGGTGCCGAGTGCTGATAGAACTGCTTGCATTCCAATAAGTAAGTAGAAGAAAAATTATATTACTGAAATATTGTTTTCAATTATGATCTGTTACATTTTAGCTTCCAAATCCTCCCCAAAACCCATCCAAAATCTACCAGCAACTCCAGGAGTTTGGTTTAACGGTCGTTCCTCCTTGGCAATCTTACGACCTCCTGCCTCAATCCTGGACCTAGCCAGGTATACGGTTTCTCTGCACGTTGAGCTAAAGGCGACTCACCAGGATGGTGTCATCGTTTATGCCCAGGCAAATCCTACAGGACATGGTGACAGGATAGGTTTGGCCCTGATCAATGGCAGAGTGGAATTTTTCTACGATTTAGGTAAAAGAAAATGGAACAATAGAAGTAATAATGAAGGGTATTAAAAACAATAATTTACAGGAGGTGGTCCAGTACGTCTGATGTCTCCAGGATATATTCGGTTAGGAAAACCGTATCTGATCCAAGCAAGAAGGTAAATTAAATAAACAAATTAAATTTTGTTTATATTTGTGCATTTCATTTAATTCTGTTCTTGTTTTGCAATTTTTTAGATATAGAAAAGACGGTTGGTTGCGTGTACAACCTCTGGACGCTGATGAAAACGACCAGGAAGAAAATAACGAACCAGTAACAGCAACATCTCCTGGCTCTTTGACTTCTTTAGATTTGGACAAATCTGAATTTTATATTGGACGTGTCGCCAGCAACTATTCGAGGTAAATAAAAGACACAAATAGGAAAGGACATAGATTTATAGATTGTGACCTAATATAGATAAAGTGGTGGCACTCACCCTTAAAGTTGACAATAGTAAATACATAAAATAAATTATTAATCAAAAATAATAAATTTGGATGCTTTGGTCAATAGTAAAAAGGGTTGGGTATAATTTTTAAAAACAGCTAATAATAGTGATTTGGTTCAGAACCATATTTCATATTTCTTTTACTACCAGGGTCTACAGAAACATAGGGACAACCCAAGCCTTCCACGGTTGCCTATCTCTTCTCCAAATCAACGGCATGACAGTCAAATGGCCCCAGGAAAACAAAAAACGCAAACAACCACAATTCAGAAAACAACATAAACAACGAAGAACGCCATTTTGAAGTCATCCAGACCCCAAATGACGAAGAAAACAAAAACAAACCCAAAAAATCTGATGACGGTGAAGAAGTTGAGGAAGAAATTGTTATCACGAGTTCTGAAAACATTGTGGCTTGTTCTAGGGCTCATTGTGCCACTCAGCCTTGTGCACATGATGCAGTATGTGTCGAAATTCCAGACACCTACAGGTAAAGGGATAATAAACACATTTTTACAGCAAATTATTATTATTACTTTTATAATTTTGTAGGTGTGTCTGTCCACCAAATTACACAGGACCACGTTGCGAATACGAAACAGATTCGTGTCTGTTGCGGCCCTGTATGCATGGGGCACCTTGTGAAAAGTTGGTAATTGAAAAATGAAGTTTCTGGACAGGATATAGGTTATTTTGGACCTAAAGAAAACAGTGTGAATGTAAAATATAAGTGTAAATGTCCTGCAGGACTGCATGGGGACAGATGTCAACACGGTAAAAATAAAACAAGCTTCAAGATTAATAAATAAATGTATTTAACTATCATTTTTCCCTTAGTTGAATCATCAATAACCTCCGACCTGTGGATTCCGGCCTTTTCTGGACGAGAATCCTACCTGTGCCTTGCAACTTTACAAACAACCGACACAATACCAAGTCCTGATAAAAACTCATCTCTCCATTTGCCTAAAACAAATACTCCTGGACGTTCCGCAACTAAAGAGACAGATGTGCGAATCGAATTATGGATAACATTTGCTGATGACATAGCAAGCAGGCGTCAGGCAAATACGATTTTGTACTGGACAGGACACAGTTTGCCTGGTAAGGCTAGAAGTGGAGATTATTTGGTGCTGGTTCAGGAAGTTGGTGGACGTTTGAGGATGCGATACAATTTGGGAAGCGGACCAGCAGATATCAGGTAATAGATTGATAGACAACAATGAATATTGGATGCTATAATAAAATTTGTTCGCAGGTCGCAAAGTGCTTTATCATCAGGAGTTTGGCATAGAATAAACTTAAACCTACGCGGTAAAAGAGGTTCTTTGTCCATAGACGGAGGTCCCCCTTATGTAGGTGTATCCCCAGGAGCACATGCTCATCTCACTTTAAACCCTATGAAAGACAAAATATACGTAGGAGCACCACCGTAAGTACCCTGGTCGCTACATCATCATCATCTAACCTTTTATTTATACCAAATTTATATGCAGGTCTCATGTACATCTACACCCTTTATCTGGGGCTACAAGAACCTCTTTCAGAGGCGCCTTGCAAAGGGTTCTGTTAAACGAAAAGCCCATGAGGGTTCTGGGTCCTTTAGTAATGTGCGACCAGGAGAATATTTTCTATTCGAATTTTGAAAATACCACTTGTGCCGGGAGGGGTGTTTTGAAGTATAGAGGAAAACCTTGTGAAACTTTAGAAGGACGAAGGTAACAAATACTTGTTGATTTATTAATATGATGTAGATATTAAATATTTGTTGTGTTTTTTTTTAGTATTTGTCTAAACGGTGGAATGTGTTTGCCATTGCTGAACGATTTGATTTGTTTGTGTCCAGAAACTCACAGAGGAAAATATTGTGAACACAATAAGAATGTTTTTGAAAATCCGACAGCAGTATCGAGTGAAAATGATGCCTTGGAAAGTTCTAGTGAAGATAATGATGTAAGTTGTAAAAAAATTTAAGATTGTAATAACTACTGCAGTACAAACGAAAATTTAGGCTTTTTATAACAATCTAGTAATCCAAAAAACTTACTATAGTAAGTTTTTTGGATTACTAGATTGTTATAAAAAGCCTAAATTTCGTTTGTACTGCAGTAGTTATTACAATCTTAAATTTTTTACTATATATATTTTTAGCTATAGCTACCACTTATGTACTTTAATTTCTTATTATATACCTCTTGCAACTTTTATGAATTTTTAAAATCTCTCCAGGATGTTTCAGGACCTTCCAATCCAATATAAAGAACTCAAAAAGTTTCCAAAATTTGACACAAAAGTTAGTTGAACACAGAAAATGTCTTTCTTTTGATATTCTCAAATGTCTACCCTCTGAGAATCTTTTTTGATAAATTTTTAATATTGAAAACATTGTTAAAATTTTGAATAGATAGAAATAAGAGAAACCCTTCCATTAAGAATTTTAAGCCTTTATTTATTAAAGTTTAGTATTGTGAAAGTAAAAGTTAAAAGAAAGTTTTTGTGATAGCATGTAAGACTTAATTGATAGTATGTTTGATACTTTGACCTGAACATGATCTTAGGTATATTATATGGTCAATTATATTACATTATATACAGATTATTAAATAATATTATTACTGTTCTTTCAGAATGAGATTCCAATAAAATACAACACTGCTTACCACTTTAATGGCAATGAAAGACACGCCTACAGAAATCGACTGACAAAAACGTAAGTAGACTTTTTAATATACAAAATATCAAGAACTCGTGTTGATCAAATAAAAAATGCTTCCTTTAAATTACTCAGTTTATTTTAAATGTTACTTGTATCGCGGTTCAGCAGCAAGAGAGTTATTTTACATAGTTTAAATATAAGATGGCGGATACATAGTTTTATGGTAGGAGAACAGTATTGCCAACATCACTAAGAATAATGGCGAGACATTTGAATTACAAATATATATATAACATTACATTTGATATTACATAAGAAAAAATGTGACAAACAATTTTGTCCACGTGTTAATTATCCAAAAAATATTAAAATCTTCTTTTTTCCATAGGAGATCCTTATCCAAAGGCACTCGCTACCAATTAGAGTTCAAAACCAATTCCCAAAATGGACTTATGTTCTACCGAGCCAATAGTGGAAAAGATGCGCCCCTTTCCAGGGACTATGTAGCCCTGGCCTTATCAAAAGGAAGACTGCAATTGGCTTATGTCTGTGGGGGCGATTTGGCCGACGACGTTAGGTAAATAAATAAATAATAATAATAATGTCATAAAGATACAAGTCTGGTTAGGAGTAAGAGCAATTGTAAGAGCTCTGGTCTTGCAATCAAAGTTACTGGTTCAATTCCCGTCTAGGACGTCCTGATATCAAGCAGTAGGAGTAGGAGTAAGAGTTGTAAAAGATTTGGACTTGCAATCATGAAGTTACAGGTTCAATTCCAGGCTAGAAAAACCTGATATCAAGCAGTCACTTGAAAATGTAGATCTAGATATGATTTCAGTAAAAATATTATGGTAGAGATCGTTAGTAGCAATATGAAGTAAATCTTATCTAGAATTGAAACCAAGGGTAGATTTACGTGCTACAGTTAGTGGTGCAAAGCGGTTGTGTTTGCAATCTATTTATACTTCTTTTATCTGTACATTAATGTTTATTGTTATTTTTATCAGATATCTCCAATCGCAAGTATTTGTAAACGATTCCAAATGGCATAAGGTCACGATAAGACAAAGGAAGAATTCCATACAATTAAAACTAAATCGTGAAAGAGACATCAAAGCCCGATGCAAAAGACCTCAGCATGGATTAAAACCCAACACGAAACTTTGGCTAGGTATTTCGAAATACTTATCATTAAAAATCAAAACCATTCTACTAATTGTAATTCTTTTTCCAGGGGGTGCTCCAAAGAATTCGATGCTCTACTCCACACTGGTAACAGACGAGTATCTAATTGGATTCAAGGGTTGCATCAGAACGTTTTCGGTGAACAATCAGATTTTAGACTTGTCCAGGACAGCTCCTGGTAGCTCTTCGAGGTCCTTACAACTGTGCCAACATGGATAATTGGGATATATAAAGTAGTTATTGTAATTTTCAACAGTACTTAGCAATAAATAGACCCAGGGTGAAAAATAAGTGTAGACTCTATTTAAATGCTGAGTTCTTGAGTTGATCTTTTCGCTGACGACCTGTGTGTACGAGTGATCCTAAATTTATCACTCAGTTAAATTGTTAAGAATATTAATTTGTAATTGGAATGTTTAGTTCTTTAAAAGTATAACTTTTAATGTTAAAATTTTGTTTGATACTTCTGGCTCGTACACACGGGTAGCAAAAAGGTTCATTAATTAGCTAAAAATATCTAATATAATAACCGAATTCATTTAATTTAACAAAAATGCGCTTTTGACTATTTTATTAGTTTAAAATATAGCATTAAGTGACATACAGCTACAGATATACAGTATTAATTTATCGTACGGTTTTTTATTTATTATAAATACAGTAAAACCCCGATAAGACGATTTTTGAAGAACCATTATCGATTATCACGGTCGTCTTAACGGGGTTCTTCTGTATTACATTATGTATGTTGTGATTTTATGAATGTTTAATTAATTTTTATATTAATTAGTTTAATTATAGTTATGTTGGCATGTATTTGCAAAAATATATGTTGATGAAATAGTCACAAAATATATATAGAAGTACCTTAATAATTATAAATTATCTTTTTATAGGTTAGATATTTTATAATAAGTTCATTAATAATATTTGTTAATATAATCTTAACATAACGTTAATGGTTTATTTTAGAGTATTGTTATATTATTTGATAAAAGGGCAATAATAAATTGTTAAAAGTTAGTTAAATGATATTATAGGACTGTCTTGTATTGTAACATAATGATTTTTGGAAAAAATACCATTTTTTAGGATATTTTGAATAAATTTAATACCTTAATATATTACTTTCTTTGATTTCTCTATTTTTGTTAATTATGCTATAGCATATTTTTTACTAATTTATGTAATTAAAATAAGACATTCATATTTTTAAGACATTTTAAAAGTAGTTTCTGTTCAAATAATTAGTGTTCATCTATTC